AAAATACTTGTAATAAAATAATAATATGTTGAGAGAATAAGACAATCTCAGTATGAGAGAATCTAATCTATTGATAAATTATTATATATTTTGCAAAGTAAGCGAAGAGAAGCATATTTTCACTTTTTCTTGTATCTAGATTAAGTATTTACACACACAACTCACTTACACTAAAAGAATTCAATAGATTAGACTCTTAGAAATTAATCTTAACCTAAACATCAAGCTTAAGTTTTGTAAAGAAAAATAAGGCAACGAAAGCGAATCAAATTCATATATAATTAAACAATGAAAAAAAGAAAGAAAGCGTGTGCACTTCTAGACAGGGTAGATCCAAGCTTACAGTGCAAAGCTTGGCAATTACGGTAATTACGAATCAAACGAAGCTCTGAACGTTAAACGTTAACTGAGATCCGTTGCAAGCAAGACGTGCATATTGAAGAATGCGGATTGGACAGTGCTTAAAGAATTCGACTTTGAGATCAAATTGCAGATATCTTTCGGGTTTTTGCAGAGCAATTTGAACGATTGATAACCGATAATTAGCTACACACTGAAAATAAAATTTTTAGAGCAACAGCTAGAAGTTAATATCGCCTAATAAGATAGGAGTTATTAATTTAACTAAGAGTTGAAACACTTTGGATAAACTTACATCCATTTTCATAAGATGGTACGAAAACTGGTGGATTCCATCCGAAATTCCTAATGGTGAGAAGAAAGCATTACTTTTTGATTTGCTTTGTCTATTGACCCGACTGGTGCGTATTCAGTATTGATCTTACCGGGCTCAGGTATAATCTTTTCGTTATATATCGAGTGTGTCAAGTTTAAAGAACAGGCGGGGAATACTTCCACATTTGAGGAGTGGAATAAAAATTACAAATGCTTTTCTTGCTCTTGGAAAACATTTCATAAGTTAAAAAGTCAAAAAAAGGACTCTGGGGGCCATGTAAGGTTAACAAGTGAATTGCTTAACTTTGGGTATCCATCAAACGACTGCTGACCATGTCGTAAGACATACAATTCGATATTACATTAGAAGAATAGTGCGTTTCAAGTAAGTTCTTTCATAGTTACTTAATGCAAAAAAAAGCATTTGACTCTTTCACGATTCCTACCGACTATTTGCTGTTAGTCTTTGTAATCTTTCGGTCTTGGGTCGAAGTGCTATTGAACTAAAACTCGAGTTAATTTCCTTTTTGTTTTCTTCTTTCGAATCGCTACCCACGCATGAAACTACTCACGTTGAACATCTTGAAGAGAAAAACATCAGTTCGGTTTAATTTAACTGGCGGGGAACATTAATTTTTCTTTACAGCTTTAGAAGATACATTATCCTTGTTAAACGAATGGAAAAATGAAATGAAATTACATATAGTTTAATATACCAAATCGCACACGACCTCGCTACGTTAAGTGCTTTTGCAAAACTACGAATATACCAAATCTAAATCTGTTTAAAGCTCGATAGATGAAGACTGCATTGTGTCAAAAGTTGTTTGAGAGATACGCTGCCAACACAGGAAATACAGAGTAAGGCGTTCGCAACATAGTCGAAGGAAACTTTTTGAAAATATTTTTAAATTAAAAAGTACACGTGGTACCATTAACCATTGTATCGCTTCATATATTAGGGAACCCAATGAAAATAAAAGTTACTGCGACAGAGTATTCGCAAAGGTGGAAAAAGGCATTCGATAAAGTCCGACATGGTGGGCTACTTCTGAAACTTAAAAAATGTCTTCTTAAATCCTATTTGCAGAAAAGACGTTAATATTGAAAATGGCTGATCCAAAATATGTTAAATTGAAGCCAGAGTGCTTCAGATTAGTATACTGAGTCCATCAGTCTATACAATTATTTTCAGATTTCCCGACCCTTGACAATATTTTATGTACAACACACACGGAGGGCACGGAAAATTTTTTTTTGATATAATAATGCAACCAATGTTTCCATTGAACTATAAAATCAATCCAATAAGATGCCATTCTAGCTACGCGTTCCCGTTGAATAAGACGATTTTTGCCCTGCACTTATCTGGAATGGCAATAATACATTTCAAAATTGAGTAAAAACCTTCAGCTCACATATAAGTCAAGGAATAACATGGAAGGAAAATACAAACTCGATCAACTCAATCCCAAAACTAAGAGACTTTCTTGGCCATCTAGCCCAGAATCATAGCAAAGAGATAAATGCATTTTATCCTCCATCATTACTCTATCCTCTAGATCTAGACCTAGGTCGTTGATTCAAATATTGATATGCTATAAAGTTATCAATTTAAGGCTAAACTAACCACAATGACCTTGAAATTCTAGATGTCAAATATCAAAGTCAACACCATTTTTCAAACCATTTATATTGATAGGGTCATCACGTGAATTCTTGGGCTATATTTTTTCTAAATGAATTTTTATGAAAAAAGTAAATTGAAGAAGCACACACACGCTTACCAGCCCTGCCATATAGAAATTTAGTTTATCTGTGTTCCTTGAGCTAATAAAATGAATCTTCTCGGTTTATATAATAATTATTTATTTATATGCACATCACACAAGTATTCTATTGCTACTGATTTACCTTTCTTTATCATAACAATTGATTATTACCTTTTTGGGCCGATAAATAGGAAATATTTTCAAGAAATTTGAAAAAAAATCTCTTTTTATATATTTTTAAATGTGTACTCTTGTTTTTTTAACATGGATTGTCGCCTATAGCTATGAGAGGAAAATATTTCGCAAAGAAGTAGGGAGAGAGGAAAAGATGGGGAATAACCGCAGCTTACTGGGAGCGCGCCCAAGTGGTAAGTGTTGGGGCGTCACCGATTGATCAATCAGTACAGCTGTGATCTATCCACACTGAATGTGCCGCGAACGACAACTTCGTAGTGGCGATCTTTTATCTCTTCGGCCATGTAGCAACTAGCGCTCTCTTTATCTTCCTGTGTAATCCGTATAAGTAAATCCATGAACGACTCACTGGCTTCCCCATATTGCATCTGAAAAGTTCAAAGAATTCTTGTCGATAAGCAATGACAAAGTGAATTAAACTAAAGCTGAAAGGAAAAATTCCCTCCTGCTATTTAAAGAAAAAAATATGTAGTAACGGGCGATGCGGAAACTTAGACGCACTTATACTAAAGTGAGGTTAAATACATTTTGGTAATCTCTCTTAACAATAATTTCTCAGCGACCGTCCAGCTTTTCAGGTTCATTTGAAATTTGTTCTTTGAACTAAAATTTCTTTAACATTTCATAAGGTCCCTTGTAGGCATTCTGCTTCTTGCAAAAATGATGGCAGCGCAGTTTTGTACGCAGGCTGGCGTTAAAAACGGACTAAATTGTTCAACGGCGCAACATAAGAGAAGAATTTCTCTGCTTTCTGCGGTTTCGGCCGTTACTTATAAGCTCCAACAATAGACACACGATAAACATTTCTACATATATTTTCTAAAATTGGAAATAATCAGCTGCGTCCATTCAATATTAGAGAGTATGGAGGGTACGGTGGGTTTGACTTTTTTTTTTTCAGGACAAAAGTTGATGATGTAAAAGATGCCTTCACGATGAATATAATTTTTTTATTTCGTTTGTTTTCTATTTGCACTCATTATTCGAAATCAAAAAATGTGTTCAATGTTTTATGCCGTAAATAAATAAATAAATGTATAAACTTCAAATAACTTGAGGTTAAAGATATGGAATTTCTTTCTGAACTTGATTCCGTGGTAAAACTTGTTATAAAAAAATATGCACGGATTAGGGTTAAATCACTTTGCAGCTGTGTTGTTATTAGCGTTAGCATTAAGCATTAAGTTGGCTTGATATTGAATATGCATTGTCTGCTGAAAATGCTACGAAACGGCTCTGGAAATGTGGCTTTGTATAAGGCAATCAAAAGTTGTTGAAGCATCATTCAACAACTAACTTGCTCGTAGAGCCCTAAACGGGCATTAAAAAAATTGCTAATGACCGCAACTCGTAGTCGTATGCCTCGACATACTTTGTTCGATATTATTTACCTTCGTGGCTTCCAGTCAATCTTTAACGCATTGACAGATAGTACAGATTTCAGTGACAGTCAATCTATTTTAAAATTAGTTGTGATATCCGTATCTGATCAGAAATGTTTTGTAAGCGTATTCTCAATATAATTGTGTATACGCATACCATGTATCCTGTAACACATCCAACAACAATGCTAACCAGATCTAATTGTTTAACTCATTAAATGGAAAACAATTTAAAACATTACAGCGGGCCGCTGTGCCAACTTGAATACGTTACATCATCTTACAAGCATTCTTATAATGACTATTCAAAATAAGGCCGCTTATTGGGAATGGTCGAAAAAGTGCTCCAATCCAAACAATTTTTAATAACGTTGGACCAAAGCATTTCAAAAATGGCGGCCTATAGATTGAACACGAGAAAACAAACTGGACAGAAGGACAGAGAAACTTGGCTCACAAAAAGAAAATCTGATCCAAGTACTTCTGGGTGCTGCATACATTATAAAAACTTATTATAGGCATGCATCACAAGTGCTGTGGGGTGTAAGAACTAATTGGTTCCAAAACTGAAATAATATAGGACTTATAGCTTTTTGCATTACAATGAACAGGAAATTGTGACAGCGTTTACGTCCGTCAATATACGAATTATTCTTTCAAACGAAGTTGAGTCTTAAAAAAAACTGCTCCGGCAAAACTATTCTGAAATCGGAAAAATGAAGTGCAACGAAAGTGCTCTAAGGGCTTTCTGTGTTCAAGATTTATAGTAATTGGATATTTTTGATATGACAAATGTTTGTCACGCTTCACAGTACAGCAAAAATGATTTAAAAATTATATCAAGAATTTTTGATTTGCCAGAGTGAAGGTTTAGATATTCTTTAATACACATATCAATCTATGCTATTATATATATTGTATACATATACGAATTTTTTCTCATATATATATTTTTTTTTTTGTTCTATATTTACAGCTCGCTGTCTTCTCTCTCACTCTTTTCAACATCACTGGTGACTGGTTTTCAAATTTTTCACTTAATTAAAGTAGTGCCAAATAGAAAAATCTTTCAATAAAGTGCGTTGGAGGTCGCTATCGCTATATCTTAAAATTCAGCCTAATAAACCGGGAAAAAATTTTATCTTTGGTTAAACAAGAACAAAAAGCTGTGTTTGTAAACTCCTATAATTAGGAAGGAATATGAAGTCATGAGACCGACATTTGATTGCAGATTTTATATATTATTGTTCATTATTTTAATACAATGTAAGTAAATGAAACACTATCACTTCTTACGCAATCATATCATACATATAAATATATATCTACATGCATATATATATATATATATATATATATTTATATATTTATATATTTACGTAATGCAATTGCTATAATCACGTTTCCTTTGTGTGATAATTTATCATCGGATTAATTTATAAATAATGTGTTCTTTGTGTATATGAAAATCTTTACTTTCGCTTATATTCGTGTATCACTTATTCATATATATATTTTTCACTATATTTATATTATTTTATGAAACCATAATTTTCACACAGGTCGTTGGTTTATTTTTCAGTTTCCGTTTGCTTACGAGTGCATATCCTTGTTTATTGTTATTTATTTTTTTTAATTTTTTTTTTTCAGACATGCAAGACGAGTATGTTAAATTCTCGCTTTCAAATTGTAACAAGAAATTTTAAAACAATTACCATCAGAGAGAGTAAAGCTAAGTTATCTCTTTCGCTTCAGTCCGCCTGCAATAAACATTAGTTGAGATGAATTATATATGAAAAGTAATCATCATCTCCTTCCAAATGCTGTTTGTAAATTTTCTAAATAAAAAAAAAAAAAATTTTGTTTCCATTGGCTAAACATATCCGGAATTCTTTTACAGAAGCAGAAATGGGTTGATATGAACCGCCCCTCTATTACGCTCATCCTCGATTGTTTGATGCCTCCAATAAGTTCCCGATATCTGATTGTCGATAGATAACGGTACTAGAAATTTTTTCGATTTTTTCATTTGCTTGTTTTCTTATCCCTTCCTGCGCGGTTTTTAAACTTGACCTAAATACCTAGGTTCAGGTTTTATAAAGATATAATATATTTAATGCTCTTAATAGTAATAAGCGATAGAAGAAACTTGCATTCTGGTCAAAATTTTTCATGTACTGGTTTGAAAGTTTTCCTTGTTTAGGGCATAGTACACTAATAAATAAATTTTATTAAACAAGAAGCATTAACTGTGACTCCAGATTCAACTCCAACAGGCTCACTAATTGTAGGAATTTTTTTAATCTACATTGAAGACTATGCATATTTTCTTATCCGTGAACACAGCTTAAAAAATATTTGAGATCATTCTCTTGCGTCGAATATCGAAGAAATTTCGTTACATTACCCACTTAATCAGCGTTAACCCTATTTCCAAATCTCGTAAAAGCTAAGTAAGAAACAGATATCGTTACACTGTCTTGTTAGTGATTCTACTGGTAGTGCGTATCTGTCGATGGAACGGCGTCCGCCAAGCAGTTTGCTATTTCCACAAACAGTGAACAAAAGCGGTTCTCATGTTCAAATGGCCAGAACCCGTATAAGAGTTAAACTATTTTACTAGAATTATTTGAGTAAGCAGAACTGCCTTGAGTGATATGAAATCGTACAAGAGCTGGCTGCCGATTCTTTTTTGTTGCAAGGAATAGAAGCTGAACAGGGATGGCAAGCCCGTAAGGCTTTCCTGTTTTTTCCACAGAAACCTTAGTGTAGGTGAAATAATCAACACTTGAGTAGAGTGCGAACTTAAGAAACTGTGATGACGCAATTGCTATAACTTAGTTTTGCCTTTAGTAAGAACAATAATTTTCAGGTATTCGTCCGAGTTAGGCTTTAAGATTCACCAATATTCTATTTTTCCTAAGCCATAAAAAATGTAAAGAAAAGACGTGTGGACAACCAATTAAAGTTAGGAATCTAAATGAATAAGGAAGAAGTTCGTTCAAGCCCTTACGATCGCACATTAATAAGCAGAGATAATATATGTATAGAGAGCAGTTGTAAGAAATAAGGTATGAACAACTATTCATTGCTTGGCTACACGAACAAGAAATCCCGTTGATCTGCATTTCTTCTTCCTCGCTCTCTCTCTCTCTCTCTGTGTCTGTCTGTCTTTCTCTCTCTCTCTCTCTCTGCGTCTGTCTGTCTTTCTCTCTCTTTCCCTCTCTCTCTCTCTCTCTCTCTCTCTATGCCTCTGTCTGTCTGTCTCTCTCTCTCCCTTCTCAGTCTATCTCTCTCTCTTGCTCTCTATCTTACTCTCTCTCTTTCTTTATGTTCGTACCTCCCTTTCCTGCTCTCATGTCCATTCTTCATGTCCAACTACTTTCTCTTATGCCTAATTGCATATGTGTGGAGGTTCAAATAATTCGATGTAAACTAATTTTATAAAAATTTTTCTTTTATTGCGTATCCTCGATTCCATTATTAAGGAATACGTACGAACATTTATAATTTTGTATTTTACAACTCATTTCTCGCAAAAAACACGTACTCGCTTACATGAACACGGAAAACAACAGCAATCCATAAATTAAACAATACAGGAGAGCACTTATTAATAAAAAGGACAAAAAGCGAGTGTGCGAGCTAGAGAATGAGTGCAGAGGGAGAGAAAGAAATTAAGTTTATATGCTTAACTTATGACAAATGTTGTACAGATAATCGCAGTCAGACAGAACACATTATTTTTCATGTTCTGGGTTTTTTCAGGTTTTTGGGGTAATATATGAAAAGCATGCAAATTCGCACATAAAAAAAAAAAATAAAAAAAAAACACAGCAAACAACAATAACTACAAAAATTATAGGCTATATTGCCATGCGATTGTTTGCCTTAACACTGTCGGCTTCATTATACGCAAAACATAAATTACAGCAACTTTTTTTCAAGTTGAAAAGAAAAAGCAAAAACAACAAAAGTACGCGTCCTGGGCGGTGTGAAATGACTCCTTTCATATCTCCCCATCATTATGCAAACTTGATGCGGCGCAGATTTGATCGAAAGGAATTGTTAATCAAATCTTAATTAAAGCTTTTGTATAATTCTCCTGAGTACTCTGCCATAAATAAATTTCATAATTGTCCGCGTCATTATGTTCACTTGTACCGATGTATTCGTTGCGATTTAATCTATTTACAGAAGGCAGGAATATACTTCTTAATAAAGTTCATGTATTCTATAATATCAGCCTCGTCTAGACTACTAGTACTAGAAAATTAGAACTTAGTAGAGTAGAAACAACTCTTAAAAATTGCTAAAGAAAGTTCTTTGAAAATGCCCTGTGAAGATCAGATTGTTCGCATATATCTATTCTGGCGCAAAATTCGAGCCTTCAAGAGAAGCAAAAATACTCCCTCGCTTTTATACCAATGAGATGTGAAACTTTACTCTCGCAAAATATCGCATATGCCACTGTGGCGGAATTAATTATCAAATCATTTTCAAAGTTATTTGTAACGGTTCTCTGATAGCTGTCAGAAGAAATATTAATTTGATTAATCGAAACAGTTACATCTGGTCTACGAATATTAATATTATAAATTTAGATAAATTCTAAGACTAAAGTCTTAAAGCAATAGCGCCTAAGACTTTAAGCTTTATTAAAAACTCTACCGCTCTGGAGATTTGAGCCCACGACCCTTGAGTTGCTAGTCGAGACTCTTGCCTATTCGGCCACTTAGGCGGATTACGAATATTTTAACAGCATGATATTTTGAAGATCTGGTCCCGCGCAAATCGATTAAAGCAGAGTAATATACTGCAGGCACCGATATAGATTGATTGGAATGATTATGTTGGATTCGCCTTCTCTGTTAATGGAGACAAGTGTTATCTTCTTTAATGCAATTACGGAAGAGGAGGTTATGATGTCCAGGCATAGAAATTATTAGCAATGACACACTTATCGGCTATATATTGTTTCTTATTAAAACTGTTGTTCATCCCCATCATACCATTTAGATTTAGATGAACTGCTCCTGTTTAGGGAAGAATCAGAGATTCTACAAATACTTTATTTTCATATTATTTCGCTGTTGTGCTGAAGTTTTTAATAAAAATTGGTCCCGCAATATAAATATCGTAGCTATTTATGGCTATATTAAGCAATAGCATGTTCTCTTAGCTAGAAATTTTATTGTTCTCCTTCCAGGGGAATGAATATAAGTATTAATGAATGGTAGGAATGTATAAGTATTGTGTTCCCACGATGGTTGGAATTTACTTTCTCTTAACAATGTTGAATAGTACTCCGTCTTTTATGATCATACTTCATTTATTGAACTCCTTTTGAAATTAAGTTCGTGCCGCTTAATTGTGATTCTTAGGATACCCCTTAGGTTTTATATATAATTTACAATTTATTTAGAGAAACTTCTATTTACAATGCTTTAATTGTTCGCTCGACTATTGCAATTCAACTCTCTCGACTGACTTTCAACTCACTTTTCGATTCTTGTGACTAACTTTGCCTTCCCCAACTATTATGGTTACATAACTTTTATACAAGCAAGTTACCATTACCTGAACTTACCTCGTCTTTTTCAATACCGTTAATCCAGTTTTCCGCTAAATTTTTACCAATTGTAACGCGCCATGAATGTGTCATGGGTTTTTCCCTCTCTCTTAAGCATTTCGTTCCTTAGAAAATTTTCATCAAAACTCAAATCATCAAATCTAACATTTTCGTAGCATTATTATAGTACGACTTAATACGGGGGCAAAAACAACTGCAGCTTTTTAGTCGCATATTAGTTGAATTTGTAGGAGACGCATTAAAAAAAAAACATTTTTCTCCGCAATTTTATCTTAATTTTCTTCTTTTGAAATTCCTTTTTACACAAACTGTACGGGAAACTTAATATATTGGCTGTAAAGAAAAAACGTTAATGAGTTTTTCATATAATATAGAAACTGAAAACGGAAAGTTGGTGGTGGTATGACAAAAAAAAAAAAAACGAAAAAAAAAGAAAAGGAAAAGTGAAAAAACAAAAGGAAAGATGCTATTAAACTACACTGTTTACCGATTTTGGAACAACTTAACACCAAATACATGACATAGTTAAATACATCTGTCTCATGACGGTGCTCTGTGTAGGAATAGCAAATACACAAAAATTCCAAACCTTCTAGAAATCGTTGGTGAACGGCAAAGTCGAAGAGAAACCAGCAAAGGAACGCGTTTGCATTAAGCGTTCGCATCCTTAAGG